GTTGTTGTTGTTGTTGTTGTTGTTGTTGTTGTTGTTGTTGTCAGTGTCTATGCTCTCGCTGGTTTCCACCATTTTCAACATACTATAGATTGACACAGTGGGCACAGAAGAGAAAGAGCCACCGGCAGATGCGATTTCAATCAGTGTGTTCATTGTTCAACCTTTCCGTCCTTTTGGTATTCCAATTTTTAACGTTGGGGCTCGTTTGACACTCCTCGGGCCGCCCTCGGGCCCCGAGGAAATTATCCCGTCGTCGCCCGAGGAAATTTGCGCCGTCATTCCACTCATCCTTGGAATTGTTCCCCGAGGACGATTCCTCGGGGCCTCCCGCGTCCACAATCATATATCGACAAGCGGACGCGGGGGGGGGAAGGGGGTTGGTCCAGCAAGGTGTGTCCGTGCCGACGTCGTTGGTCCAGCTCGGGCGGGCATCGTGAATTCGAAAGGTTGCGGCGCAAAAAAAATTGGCACGAAAAAGTCGTGCAGGCCCGGGTTTGAAATTTGAAATTCGAATTTCCGCAAGCGACCGGCCAGTATCGTGGGCGTCCCTTGTGGCTGACGGCAGCAACGTTCCTCGGCGGAAGCGTTTGGGTACCGGGTGGCTGGTGCGTGTCCGTGGGCACGCCGAACGTACATGTACGCATCCGAAGCAGCAGACACGCCGTCACACGATCGCCGTCGTTGTTGTCTTCGCAGCCGAGCTTGATCGTCGACGTGTACGTTGTGCACTCTGGTCGTCACTCGCATCAGTGCTGTGTGCGGCCAGCCACATGTGGAGTCTTCTCCACTTGGCGACGCCAACGTCGACAGTACCAGTTTCGGCGATGGCCATGAACGGGGGGACAGGACGTGACACACTGAGCAAGGCGGAGAGGACGGCGGTGGCAGCGGCCGTGAGCGCCATCCTTTTCCGGTGTCAATTGTAGAGGGGCGAGGGGAGGATGAGAGAGGCCATTTGCGCACGGCGGAAGAGGACGCTGCAGTCCACGAATCTGGAGGGAGAGGACAGTGGTGCCATTTGCAGCGCCGTTGTCGGGCGGCTCAAGCCTTACGCCACACTTTACTTCCTTTACAAGGGCGCGTGAAAAGGACACTATTTAATAGTTTTTACCTGACAGAAACTCGGCGGGTCATGGGGAAATACGCCAACGGATCAACGGCGCGAGTGGCCGGGCCACGACACTCAGTCTGGGTGGGGCACGAGCATTAAAAGCCGATACTTTTGTGAAGTGGGCGCGGACGCGGAGGAGTTTCCCGAGGGTTCGGGACGAAAGGCACAACCGCCGGGGACCAGGGTTGCTCTAAAGGTCGGCATAAAGCCAAGGGAAAAGGGGCGCCGGGCACTTAGCGCAAGGCTTCGGGCATCTCGACCAGTGGCAACCTCCGAAGTTACCACGAGCGACCGAATTACGGAAACACCCTGCATAGATGGAGGGTGGGAACCGGCTTTTTGGGCGGGCCTCGGCGCTACCGAAAGGAGGCTCACGGCTAAGGCCCAGGAATGGACCCGTCGACCGAGGATTTTGAAAGGGGCCCTACGGGGTTATTTACCGAGGCCGTTACCACTTGTGGGTGGGGACCACTTATTAGGCCGGGCTTGGGTTTGGAAGGAGCTTCGGTACCGAGGCGCTGCAAAAAGCCCGGTACCCGACAAAAAGGCTCCTTCGTTGGAAACCTTTCGGAGGCCCAGACGGACCCGGGTACAGGCTCGGGGGAGGCTTGGTACCGGGGCGCTGCAACATTCCCGGAGCCTCGACACACCGAGGCACTGAAGCCACGCAGCGTTGGGCCCAGCAAAGTATAAAGGCCCAACCGGGCCCGAAGGAAGGGGGATTATTCTCACTTGCGCACAAGAAGGACGCAGGGGCTAGCACACGAGGTGTGCTGGCTCAGAGACGCACGGGGCGGCACACGAAGTGTGCTAGCTCAGAAACGGACGGCGGGGACTTCGGAGAGGCGCAGGGGCTGGCCCAGGGGGGTGCTGGTCTTTCTCGTGCAGTTCCCTAGCAGGGAGCTGGAGGAAGGGAAAGATGCGCATCTGGGGCAAGAGAAGGGCCCGCTTCAACTTAAGAGGAATCGTCGCGGGAGGGGATTGGCTGTCCAGGGCATGTTCGTAGGCACGGGGGTACATGGGCAAAACGTCTGAACCGGGACAGGATCCAGAGCTTGGTTCATCCACGGAGGAGAACAGCTAACTGGGGAAGAAGCCGGGGAGGATCAGAGAGGAACGGGGGGAAGGTGCGTGTGGGCCATGGAGGCTGCGCGTCCATAGACGCGCGCAAGAGAGGGAGAGGCGGAGAGAAGGAGCTCGCAGGGGAGCGGCGTGCGAGTTGGCAGCACCTGAGAGGG